AGACCCGGCGCGCAGGGCGCACAGCCGCCGACCGCCCCTTCGGTTCTGCCCACAGCCCCCGGTACCTTTAGCCTGTCCGGTGGGGTTGGGTCGCTGCGGCCGCGGCGAAACCCCGCTACTGACCCGGATCACAGCTTCCAGCGCGCAGCCTGCGACGCTCCCCGGGTTTCCCTGAGGCTGGTGTCTGGCGTCCCATCAGAAAGTACGGGGACTGCGCCCTGGATGGCTGTGCCCGGAGTCCAGTCGTCATATCACTGACACCTTCCTTTCATCGTGTTTTATGCCTGACCTCTGCACGTGCGGAGGATATGGTGACAAGTTAAAGAAAAAAACGCTTAGCTGTGCCTCCAGGCCCACGTGCCCTCCTAATGGACACCTAGTATTTATCTGTTCCCTGAAAGCCGAGACCGCAAAGTAAATAAATGAGCGAGCGATGGTAAAACCCGGCAGGATTTCCGCTAGTCCTGCGGCGAACTACATGTCCCAGGAAGCCGCGGTGCCGGGACGCGTGTCCACTGCGCCATCCACTTACAGAAAGCCTTACTCAGCGGGTCCAATCCCCTCGCCTGGCACCTTGGACTGGAGCCTGAGGCAGATTCGCCCCCAGTGATGCTCCAGTTGTAGGAGCAACTCAAGTTTATCATTGTCGGGAGAAAGAGGAGCAGTGTGGTGCTTGCCCGTTTCAGCAGAGCGACTGGCATCCCCTGTGCAAGCCCGCGCTCGGGTTGTGATTCTCCTGGGGAGAGTGGAGACCCGCGCGCCTGCCCCGCACAGCCAGCGACACCCCCTGGAGCCGTTTTTGCTGCTGCGATCGGCCGGCGTGCCCCTGCCCGAACCACGGCTCGTTCCGCCCACGTCTTACGTTTCATTTATCCGTGGATCATTTTGATAGCCCGTCTTGTAAATGTTTAGCATTTTGCTGCTTTACTACTTCTTTCTGGGGACAGTTCCAGCATTGGCGGAGACCGGCGGGGAGAGGCGACTTAGCCCAGAGAAGAGTGAAATATGGGGACCAGGGCTAAAAGCAGCTGTTGTTCTGCCTGCGCGCTACTTCTATATTCAGGCGGTGGATACATCAGGAAATAAGTAAGTTGAGAAACGGCTGCCTAACTATTTTGGAATGCAGTTAAAGCTACTGTTCCTTCAAGTTTTATCCGCCCAAGAACTCGTTTCTCCGCAGCAGTTTAAATTCCAGGATATTTGGGTGCTATCCACATCTGGTTGTAACTGTCTCCATTCCAACCACTTTCTCAGAGTTTTAGAAATAATTCCGTATTAGCTCTTCTCCTAGCTATTTTCATAGGGCTTCCCACCTAACTAGAGAGACAAAGCCCCTGCACCTTGCTAGAAATAGGATTTCTATCTCCTTTTGCATAAGCTGTTATAAGGAATTTAAGTCCAGTTGTTAGAAACTTGGTTGGTTTCATCTTTCTCTGGTGCAGCCCTCTGTTTCCAGATAGACATCTGCAGGTAAGTGTGTTTTGCAACTCAAAAAGAAAAACCAAGCACTGTTTGAAACTTTAGAGCTCAGAGGGAAAGTATCAAAGCATGAAGTATGAATCTTCTCTGTGTTTGCAGCAAGTTTATTTCAGTTCATTGAATTCAACAATTGAAATTATACTTAAAACTTATTTCTAGAATTCAGATACTTCTGAAATGATTGTCTTTTTATTGCAGACCATGTATATTTTGTAGGAAAGGAAAAAACCTTGGGAATAAGTTTTCCAAAGCAAAAAAAGTTTATAAATAGTATAATTGGAAAAACTAAATATAATCTTAACAGCAAGAGTACTCACTCAAAAAAACTTTCGTACAGTGTCACTTAGATGATACACAACCTACTGGCTTTTACTCATGCTGGACATGATTTATAATACTAATTTTTATTTTTATTTTTTTATTTTTTTAAATATATCTTTATTGATTTCAGGGAGAGGAAAGGAGAGGGAGAGAGAGAGAGAAACATCAATGATGAGAGAGTCATTGATCGAGCCTGCAACCCGGGCATGTGCCCTGACAGGGAATCGAACCCTGATGGCCTGGATCCTAGGTCGGCGCTCAACCGCTGAGCCACGCCCGGCTGGGCAAATAATACTGATTTTTAAAATAATCATTGAGAATATCTTTCAAAATTATCTTTAGAGGCACCATTTGATCACACATTTCCAGATGTGATGGGTGTGAAATAAATAGTAGGTTGATAAGAATATTTTTATATATGAAATGCATAAATATGTTCTATGTTTACATAGATTAGTTTTATTAACATATTCCTTTGCAATTTTCTAATGAAACTGTTTTATGTTATCTTGGCCATTGTCATTGTCTTCTTTTTTAAATCTCTGATCCGTCATATTCATTCTGGTACCAAAAGTGTAAGAGACAAGACAAGTGTATGTTAGGGGGAGAACATGGAGAACAGTAAGATTCACACAGACTGGAGAGCATAATCTTTGTGCATTTGTTCCTTAAAATAATCTTTACATATTATTCTTCTACCCATCACAGGTTCACATCTTCTCCAGGTGAAAAGGTGTTCCAGATTAAAATCTCGGCACCAGAGGAGCAATTCACTAGAGTTGGAGTCCAGGTTTTAGACCGCAAGGATGGGTCCTTCATAGTCAGATACAGAATGTATGCAAGCTACAAAAATCTGAAGGTAGAAGTTAAATTCCAAGGTCAACATGTGGCCAAATCCCCATATATTTTAAAAGGTAATTTGGAACATAACTTTAAAACAACGATTTGAATACAATGATGTGTGTCATTTAATCAATAAAAACAAGTTAGCATATTTTTTTCACTGAAAGAAAAAAAATAGACATTTTCACCTGGAAAGCTAAATTGAGAGCCCTGGACAAAAATGCAAGATTTGAATGGAAATTATAATTCACTAAAGAGGAAAGAACATATCAATAGAGAATTTGCCCCCTGAAGACACAACATTAGCAAGAATTACCAAACTATGTACAATATGGTCATAGGTGACAATTAATTGGGGGAATATGACAAGTAACTGATAAGCATTATCGAAATTTGGTCACTTCAGGAAGAGAGGTCTTGAAGCAAAGGGGTAAGTCAACTAAATGTGGTTTTTTGTTTTGCTTTGTTTTTGTCTTTGTTCCAATAGTATTTTTCCAGAGAAATTCTCTGATTTTTTCTTTTTTAATATAGGATGAGAGTGCAACTGCATTACCTGGAGCCATATCCTTTTATCTCAGTTGAGATAGTACCCTAAAACAATGGAAAATCAGAGAAACAAGTTTATATACAGAGACAAATTTTTCTTATTCCCCACCTCCAACAAAGGCAAATGTTTTAAAAACATTTCCCACATTCCACCAGGTTCTTTTCCCACATTCCACCAGGACCACATGGTACAATATAACCTGCTAAACCCAAAAAAAAAAATTCCATTGTTGACTACTTACTGGGTCAGGTGGGAATATGAGAATTATAAAAAGGAATGACAGTAAAATCTCAATGCAGATTCTGCTATAATGTTAGTATTATTTCTATAAACATAATTAATTCATTACAATATGAACTGTTTTGAAGATTACTTTTGTTTTTATACAATTCTTGAAAAAAATAACAAGCATAGTAGAGGTTCTTTGTTTACTTAAATTGTTTTTTTAAAATATATATATTGATTGATTTCAGAGAGAGGGAGGGGGGAGAGAAATAGAAACATCAATGATGAGAGTCATTGATCGGCTGCCTCCTGCACGCCCCCCACTTGGGATTGAGCCCGAAACCGGGGCATGTGCCCTGACTGGGAATCAAACTGAGATCTTCTGGATCATATGTCAATGTTCAACCACTGAGCCAAGTGGGCCAGGCTACTTATATTGTTATTGATGATGATTTACCCATTGAGGAAAATACCTTAGACACTAAGAAACTGTATAAGAGATCATTGAAATATTAATTTCATATCACTTTTGTCTTTCATCAAAACAGGTATATTCCTTTGATATCTTTTTACCAATGTTTGGTTATTCTTAAGTACACAAAACTTAAAGAACGATGGACTATAATAGCCACTGTGAGCACAAATGAGTACCCATTGGCTTTCTTTTGAACTTGTGCAAAGCAGGCCTAACTCTGAAAATATCACGATCTTACTGTGAAGAGCTGTCAGAAACAGAACACTGACTTACTAGTGATGCCCAGTGTGATAAAAATGTTTTCTTTTTCCTTTTTTCCCCATCAAAATATTCTTCCTAATAACCCAGGCAAAATTTGTGAAGTCGTATTATGGATATTTGTTACGTGTTTCAAATGCTGAGTGAAATTATTACCGTATAGTTTGTTGCTTGTGTGTAATTAGGGCCAGTTTACCACGAGAATTGTGACTGTCCTCTGGAAGATAGTGCAGCCTGGCTACAGGAGATGAACTGCCCAGAAACCATCGCTCAGATTCAGAGAGATCTGGCGCATTTCCCTACTGTTGATCCGGAAACTATTGCAGCAGAAATCCCAAAGAGGTTTGGACAAAGGCAGAGCTTGTGTCACTATACCTTGAAGGATAACAAGGTACAATTCGTGATTGGCATTTGCTTGTTTGTCTTAGTGATTTTTTTGTTTTGACCATTTGGCTACAACTGGCTACACAGTTTTACTAAAAATCATTCTGAGGATCACTGTGATAAGCTTTACCTCAATGAAGCCTGCCAGTACCTTTAAACTAACGTAATATACACTCAATTATCTTTTAGGTTTACATCAAGACTCATGGTGAACATGTAGGTTTTAGAATTTTTATGGATGCCATACTACTTTCTTTGACTAGAAAAGTAAGTATTTCTTTTCTCTTATGTATAATAGGCAATTTAAGCCCAGGTTTTATATCTTTCAAACTAAAAGTAATAACAGTATCAGGGATGTTCTATTTTGGAGCCTTATTATAATACTATTCTGAAGTTTTATGTCATGTGGGATGTCTGTGTTAATTTCCTAGGGCTGCTGTAACAAAGTTCTACAAACTGGGTGGCTTTAAACAACAGAAATTTATTCTTTCACAGTTCCAGAGGCTAGAAGTCCAAAATCAGGGTGTCAGCAGAGCTGTGCTTCCTCTGAAACCTATAGAGAAGAACCCTTCTTGGCTCTTCTTGACTTCTGTTGGTGCCCAGCAATCCTTGGCATTCCTTGGTTTGCAGCTGCATCGCTCCAGTCTCCATCTGTCCTCACATGACATTATCCCTGTGTGTCTTTATGTCTTCCCCTCTTCTCACAAGGACACCAGTCGCATTGGATTAAGGGCCTGCCCTACTGCAAAATGATCTTATCTTAATTACCTCTGCAGCAACCATATTTCCAAATAATGTCATTCTGAGACACTGGGGTTTAGGACTTTAGCATATTTTGAGGGGAACACAGTCAATCCCATGACAATACCTTAGAGAGGGAAATGCCTTAGAGTAAAATTATTTTGGTTCTATACATACTTTTAAC